GCATGCATTTTTTGCAGAGAGGGAGAGAGAGAGAGAGAGAGAGAGAGAGAGAGAGAGAGAGAGAAGGTGAAGTTTCTCTCAATTTGGGGGAGATAATTTTGCTATTGACTCATGTGAATTATAAAGAAGTAGAAAAACATTACCAAAATACGCTTATTCTAATCAATTTGGTAGGCTTTACTTCATTATTTTAAGGAAAGGGAGATACTATTGACTATGCTATGTTTTTTTCTATTATAGTACTATGAATATGAACCTAACGAGATTCTATCTTTAAAAGTATGTTAGAGTTGGCAAACAAATTGAGTTATTGATGAACATAGCTCGATTCTGTCGAGCGCTTAAACAAGTCAAACTCAAATAATAATTAATTTTGTTTATTAAATGACTCGAGCTTGTTCGCAAACAACTTGTTTATTTTTGTTCGAGAACATTAGTGTTCATTAAATGAGTCAAGTCAATGTTTTATGAATCCATACGAGTCAAGCTCGAGTCGAGTATTTAAATTATTAACAAGTCGAGCGACTCATTTATCAAAAAAGAAAAAAGAGAGGGAGAGAGAGAGATAACACGTACTCGACTCAATTTGGCTTGAATAATACCCCTACTTATGTACATAATCGTTTTGAAAGTGTATGATGGGGATGATAAATCTTGGTACCATGAAATCTATAATATAAAATAAATTTAATTGAGTAATGTCCAGCAATTATAAATAATGACGAAGTTACCGTTGATCGGGTAGCAATTTGTTTTATATTGCATAAAGGCAATTTCATTTTGGTCCAGTATTTCCTAGTGTGGGCTATCTTTATAACAATAGTTTCTTTTGAAAAAAAAAGGAAATTATTATTCAAGTATAATAGTTCATATGGATATGTTACGGGGACGGTAACATCTTCTAAAGTCAGAATGTGATCTAGCGATGAAAATAGGTCGGCACGGTTTGAAAATTGAAAAATCTCTAAATCCGTACTCAATTTCGGAGATTATTAAAATTCGATTTCCGAGATCGTACCAAAAAATTGAGATGGTTTGGTTCGGAGGTTTTTATATTTCGGTTCAGTTCTATGTATTTTGGACTATCGGAACAGTTCGATTCAGATCTTCAGAGATTTTTTTATTTTTTTTTGGGAACGAATACTTAGTTATATTTTATTTTTTATATGCTTTAAGAAAAACCAACACTCATCAATACTTAATCACATTAAAGGTTTTATTTTAAAATCATCTTTAGATGTAACTCTAAATTAATTATTTTTATTTTTATATGCTTTAAACAAAAAACCAACATTCATCAATTTTCATCGTATTAAAGATTTTATTATAAAATCAACTTTAGAAGTAACTCTAAATTCTAGTTAAGACTAAATTTGTGCAAACTAACATAAAAAAAAATTCAAAATTCAAACAAAATATAATATAGTATTTTCTTAAAAAAATATATTTTTTAACATTTCATACATTTTAAATATAAGATTAAATAATACTAACAAAAGTATCAACACATTCAAACAAAGTTTAAGCATTTTTTTTTAATTTAATAAAAGTATCAAAACATTCAAGTATCAACATATATCACGGTATGAATATTTGTGAAATCTCCATACAACAACAACAACAAAGCCTTTTAGTCCCAAACAAGTTGGGGTAGGCTAGAGATGAAACCCAATAGAAACAGTAGTAAAAAAAAAGTTGGAGCAAAAGAGAAAAGAGCAAAAGTCACGGTTCCGGCACGTTGATAGCTAGTCTCCAAGCGCTCATATCCACCGCTAAATCCTTGGAGATATTTCAATCTTTGAGGTCTCTCTGAACCGACTCTTCCCAAGTGAGTTTAGGCCGACCTCTACCTCTTTTAACAACATCGGCCCGCTGTAGAGCTCCCCTGCGCACCGGTGCATCGGGAGGCCTCCGTTGGACATGTCCGAACCACCTCAGCCGATGTTGAACCAGTTTCTCCTCAATTGGGGCCACCCCGACCCTATCACGAATATCCTCATTTGGGATTCTATCTCTTCTTGTGAGCCCGCAAAACCAACGCAACATCCGAGTCAATTACTTTTTTAGTTCATTCGATTACTTTAACAATTCAATTACTTTTTCAGTTCGGTTCGATTCGAAAAAAGTCAAACAGTCCACAATTATTGTTCGATTCAATTTTCAAAACGGTTTGAAATTTTTTTCGAGTCTCATACTCAGCCTTAATATAATCAAACTCTATAGACGTTGACCCTTGTAAACATTAGATAGAGAAAGTCATGGCATGCAATATAAAACCGGTGGAAAAAATAAAAGAAAAAGGAAGAAGAAATGATTTGCCACAACCAATGCTAATAGCCCAAAAGTTGTATAATAGTAACTTGTACTATCCAAAATAAAAAAATAAATAAAAATAACACATTTGTATAATCTGATTCGATCATGAAACAATAATTGCCCTGTAATATATATATATGTATATATTTTTTTTTCTTGCAAATTAAATTCTGTTTTTCGTGTTCCAATAACAATAATCCCACATGGAAGTATTATTTGAATTGAATTTTCACCGCAAGTCCCTTTTCTTCACAAAACTATGCATTTATTTAATTTTTATTTCGGTTTCAATAGTCACGGGATCATTTTATAAACATTATATAGGGTGTGATAAGATCGTGATGATATTATATTACCTTTTGTCACGATGCATTTGTTGGGCATATTAAAATGTAATAATCAGTAATTTATGTAATTAATACTTGTATTTAATACAGTTTGACTCTGATTATGGATTTGGATGATCAATTATAGGTGTTTAGTGGTTGTAATTGCGATTCTGTGACAGATTAAGACAGATAATGTAGAGATTGTATATTTTAATATTAGGTCATGCCTACGGCACAAGTGCATCATATATCATTGTTGTTGCTAAGCATGACATGTGAATGGCGTCCTCTTGCTACTAATTTGGGCATTTTATGGGTTATGTTTGATAAGCAAAGTAGGTTTAGACATGGCC